AAGATCGAGAGGAAATCTGTCCATCGACTATCAATTTAGCGACGTGACAAACGCCCCCGTGAGGAGACCTAGTGAAAATGGTGCCTCGATCAAAGTCAACCTTCTCTGCATGGACAAGTACTTGTACACCATGAGCAAAGATGAAGGTATCAAAGCCGAAGTTGTATGAATTAATTCCGACCTAGTAGTAAAAGGGCATCATGGAAGGTGGTGACCTGGAGACCAGACATCGTGTCTACGGTGGTGATTTGAAAACATCGAGTCGACAACACGGTGGATTCTTCTGGAAAAAGAGCTTCTGGAAAAACCTAATCGGTGCTGGACCGGATGAGATGGAAAAACAGATGGCGGAACCCACGACAAAACAAGATGCAATGCAACGCGGTGGACTTGGACCCCTGGCTGCCATGGCAGGAATGACACTTCTTCCCATGCTTTTTGGGGAGAGGAGAGTCCGGAGACATTGTGGAAGCGCAAATGAAAACAGCTTACAACCCTGCCATGCACCGAGGCGGTCTAGCCATTCCACCAGGATTAGCCGCCAAGGCCATACCACTCCTGACGAATCTGGCTGCTCCCTTGGCCATGGGTACCATGTAGGGGTGAAACAATTATACCGAGTACTCGAGTACTCGCTCGGTTTTTTCAAAAATAATCGTACTCGGAAAAATCAGAGTACTCGTTCATACATGGTACATGCATTTACTACAGAAATCTGCAGTTTCAGGGCAGCAGTCGGCAGATGGTGATGTGCAGACTGTGTGGTGAACATTTGTTCACGAGTAGAGAGAACCCAAATGACCCACCACCCAATATACCCGAGAAAAATGACTGCTCCTCGGTTCAATCAGGGTTGTATCATGTTATTTTAAAGCCCTTGGTGTGCAATTTTTAGGAGATGAAAAATACTCGAATACTCGAATATTCGATCGGAGAAAATCAGAGTACTCGAACTCGGGATCTCAGTGCCAACTTTCACCCCTAGTACCATGGCATCACTGGGTGACAACGTAATGGATAAAATATTCGGCAGAGGAGTAAGGAAGGGAAGCTCAGCAGGTGCCATGAAGCGCACTAAAAGTCGTCGTCGTCGGCATGCACCGAAGAAGATTCGTCAACGAGCATCTCGAAAAACCAAGAAGCCAGCTCGTCAAGTTCGTTCCAAAGGCCGCAGTGCACGAGGAATAAAGAAACAAGGAAGGGCCTTGTTCAAAAAACTAGGACATCGTGCCCTCGACGAAGCTTCATCGTTCCTGTCTGCACCTCGTAGATCCCTAACCCGTCCTGAAACTCCATTTGCTCAAAAAATTCGACAGAACATTAACAGTGCAGGACCGTCTTCTATGAGTTCCGCTCACATCGGTCCATCCTACAACATCTGATCATGGACTTTATCTCGCTCCTTTGACAGGAAATCGGGAGGAAGAAAAAGACTAGTCCCGTAAGGAACGACGATGTTCCGACCACGGCCACTGCTCGACACGGGCTGCACATTCCTGGTCTTCAGTTCGAGTCTAAGGATTGGTTCACGGAAATCATTCCTGCTCTGAAATCCTGGGGTCAAAACGTATTGTTTCTGGGACAGAGCAACATGGGTAAATCCTTCTTTCTCATCAAGCTCCTGAAACGCGTGCAACCTGAGCGTATAGTTGTCATCTCCAACACGCCGGCCGATCAGTATCGTCTCCCAAGCCTCAAATCCTTCAAGCATTACAGCACCATGCCCGAGTGTATCGAAGACATGGATCTCCAGCCTAACACCTACCGGTATGTGATCATTGATGACATCAGAGTGATGGGTTTGAAGCACGGCAGTCAAAGAGAGTGTCTCTACAAGTTCTTCACCATGTACAGTCATCATCATAAGTTGAACGTGTTCTTTCTCTCTCAGAGCTTTGATAACATTAAAGACATGAAGATCAATGCAAACTTTATGTATCTATTTCGCTTCACTGATAAAAGCAATATCAAGCGTTATCTCAATACTCTGTTTGGTGGTCTGTGCACGAAGTCATCCATTATCTTTAGATTGTATGAGAAGTTATTGGCGGTGTGTCGCAGACCTATCCTAACCATTGATTGCTCTTCTAATCAGTACTACACGTATTGCGAAGACACTGCATTAAAGGTGACTTTTGAATAAAAACCTCGTTGATGTGCGTGTTTAGCCGAAAAGTTAGCCGAAAAGTTAGCCGAAAAGTTAGCCGAAAAGTTAGCCGAAAGGTTAGCCGAAAAGTTAGCCGAAAAGTTAGCCGAAACATTGAAAAAAAATTTCAATCATGAATAAGGATGGAGCATCTTACGGTGAAATTCTCAAATGGGCTACCGAGCAGTATACAGAGGGTGGGGTCCAGAAAGGGATCCTTCTCGATACCCAAGCGTAAAAGGTTGCAAACCTTGCAGTTTATGTCGAAACATCCTCAACACATCCTCAACAAGAGAGTAAATTCGTGGGAAGTTCTCGGTATACCACCACTCATGCGGCAAAAAGGAGGTAATAACTACAATACCTACTTGAAAAGCGTCAAGAAAGTTCTTTCCCAAGTGCCAGATCACAGTTTGAGCACCTCCACCCTGTTGGAACTGCAAGCTGACCCGCGAGTAAAGCGTCTATATGACACCCACTTCAAAAACAATCCCGATCACATCAGTTACCCGTCTGTGAGAAATGTGATTGCATCCAACATACTCAACTATGATTCCACTACCGATCAAGTTCGCGATTCCGTTGCAGATGTCAGGAAGAAGAGAAAGGCACCTTTAACATCAGTGCCTTTCAATCTATTACAAGACCACGAATTTGACCGATGGATCCTACAAATGCTGGACAGTTTCCTCCGACATACAAATATACCGGCAACCTTTTTGAAGAGCAACTATTTCACAAGCCGATCACAACTGCTGCAACTCTACGATGAAGATCGACTGAGGTTCAGGAGTCGGGTGGAAGCGGCTGCGGATGCCCTGAAGACGCAGACGATGAACGACTACACCACTCTGGTCAACGAGACGAATCGCATCTACATGTCCAGGTACCCGTTTGCAACCATAGCGGGTGCGGTGGGAATCCACAAACATGTCGATGGATTCCTTCGATCAGAACGAAAGATTCATGAACTAGCCACCCTAGTGCTAGCTGTACCAGGATCGCAGCTCAAGTTTCAAGATCTCAACGATATGACTTCTACGTATGGTAGAACAACTGAAGCAAAATTGATCCATCCCGAGCATTTCATGATCAGAGCACAAAAGGTGATGGTGGACGATGCATCATTCATTCAAGAGGTTCTGAAGGATAAAAGCAGGATCACTCGTATCATCAAGGATATCCTGAGTGGACGTTCAATGTGATCACGTGCGCGAAAATTTTCAGGCTATGATCAAGAATGGACTACCCTCTCAGCAGTGCCGACATCAAAGGAAGATTGAATGGTGTTGGAGGGTTCGTGGGGTGTACAAGTTACGACCTCTTACCACCCTTGAACAATGGAGACTTTTGTATCGTCAACACCGACAACGTTCTACCGGTGTACGATGCACCAGAAGGTGGACATCATTGGTTGACCGTGTGTCGCGAGCAAAACGTGATCCTGGTTTTTGACAGTTTCGGACGCAGTCTATACACTATGGAGCAAGATTACACTGAACCTGCACTGTGCGATTTCTTTAAAGAAGCCTATGCAGACTGTAAGATCATCACCAACACCCAAGCCGTTCAAGACAGAAGCACAGCAGTATGTGGATGGTATGCCATATTGATGGGAAAGCTATTTTCCAAATATGGTCTGGATGAAGCACTTCGAACTTTCCGAAGAGTCTTCGATGAGGATGAAAAGCTGGAAAACGATCAACTGGTTCTCAGTTTAGGTGCCTTGCGAGGTGGTGGAGCCTTGTGGGATACGAAAGTGCAAAAAGCACTTCATGATGGAAGACAGAAGAAGAAGTCGCAGTCCACACCATTCCACACGCAACTGGCTAACGAATTGCACAAACCCAGACGAGTGCATTTCAAAAGACGCAAGGTGAAGAGCAGGTCTGTGGATCACATCTGGAGTGCCGATCTAGTGGATATGCAACGGTTTGCCCGAAGCAACAAGAACTACAAATTCCTTCTGGCCGTCATCGATCTGTACAGTCGCTATGCCTGAGCAGTACCCCTGAAAACCAAAACTGGCTCTGCTGTCAGGGATGCATTCGACATGATCCTGAAAACATCGAACAGGGTACCACAAAAACTATGGGTAGACGAAGGCAAGGAGTTCTACAATGCAACAATGAAGCAATGGGTCAAGGATCACAACATCATCATGTACAGCACCCACAACGAAGGAAAAGCCGTGGTGGTGGAACGCTTCAATAGAACACTGAAAGGCAGAATGTGGCGCCATTTCACGGAGAAAGCTACGACACAGTATCTTGACGTCCTTCCTCAGCTTATGGTCAAGTACAACAGCTCGAAACATCGCAGTATCGGCATGAGTCCCACGAAAGCTTCTCTTGATGGAAAACCAAAAGATGCAGACGTACACTTGAAGCAATCACCAGCTAAATTCAAAGTGGGTGATGATGTGCGTTTGGCTGTGGCTAAACGTCATTTCGAGAAAGGGTACACGCCCAACCGGACAGAGGAAGTGTTCGTGGTAAACGATGTCCTACCCACTGTACCCCACACCTATCGTGTTCAAGACCTGATGGGAGAAGTCATTCAAGGACAGTTCTATGGAGCTGAGCTACAACATGCCAGACACACAGGATTGAGATTCGATAAGGTGTTGAAATACAACAAGAACAGTCGGCTCGTCAAATGGAAGGGTTATCAAGACGAAAAATTCCATACCTGGTTAACAAAGAAGGATGTGAATGATCTCAAAAAGTATTAGCATTTCATATGTACAATGTAGCTCATGTTTTGGATTAACGTGAATATTATGAATCGCATAGTATTTACAATGTATTTCATGAGAAGATATGACATATGCTCTAGTATGTGTGGAAATCCATCAGTGCTTTGGAATATCCGTGTGTCCGAATGCCAGGGTGTTGATACCATCCTCCAGAATGTAACGCTTACTGTCGAATCCACAGAGGGCAATCTTGTGTAGCTCCTCTCCGTGAATGCAATGTCGTCGACTTCGAAGAACATTCATTGTTCTCTTCAGCTGAGACTCCTCGACGAGACATGTTCGATAATCATCGACGGTTATGGTGTTTTTCAACACGCTTCTCTGCACACCTTTGGCACGCTTGCCATTGTCGTCGTTGTCTTCACAGCGGTATGCGTACATCTTGCTCCGCAAACCAATGAACTCCTTGATGGGTTTGCCACCTAGTTCGTCCTTGAACTTCCCTACCACCTTCTTGTTGACCGTGCTGTACAGGTGGTGGGATGGTGAATAGTTGGATGTGTCATAGGCTGTTATGTTGTTTGACATATCGGTGTACAGATCATCCGTTTGAATATGTACGATCAGACTATCAGTATCAGTGTAGAGCAAACGTACATTTTGTCCATAGCGGGGTAGGAGAACTTCATAGTAAAAGGAATACATCAAGTGCTTCGACAGATCGAGGATGGCTGTACCCACATAAATGGGTTTATTGAGAGTCACCTTTGTCCTGGCAAACTCGATTGCTATCAGATCGTTCTCAAAGGCTACACTGCGGATGTACGAAGGTTTGTTGATGCTTTTCTGGAGACGTGGTTTTTCATCCTGTTCACCAATGAGCTTGATGTTTACTCTGTTTCGAACGTTTTCCATGGTCTTGCCATATACAGCATTGTTCATCAACTACGATAAACAGGCATACAAAAAAAAAAGAAAGACAAGAAAAACAACAATAAGAAAACTGTTATCTTCAGGTCATTCACACTTCCAGTACATACTAGATCCCACACTATCGCTAAATACACACACACACATGATGTGGAGTACCCACCTTATAGAAGTCTTTCTCGAAATCAGAAGTTGATAGCTTTCTCAGGTCAGTATTAGTGTCGATGTATGGCTTCATCCATGGGTGTTGTGTGAAGGAGAGCACACGATGCACATCTGTAATCTCCACACCCAAGGACACATACTGCTGCAAGGTTCTGTAGTGCAGAACATAGTGCTCTTTCGGTAGTAGATTTGGCACCAGTTTCTTCGCTTCCAAACCGCTCACCTACAAGAGTACAGTATAGATATACACAAACCTTAGAAGATTAATACAAGCATATCCACCAGATAGACCATGACTTACCATTAGTTTCTCTGCCATGTGGGTCTGATATGGAGAAAGCATATCTCGTGTCACCTTCATCTTCTCAGGAGCCAACGGATAATCATTCATCATGTCATGCACACCATCTGGAATCCTTAAATCGCACTCCACCATGTATCCCGTCGAAGAGTCCATTGGATGATCGAGTACCGTCTCCAGAAGATCATCCGTCACTGCTTCAAAGCAGAAGTCCGACACGGGCAAGGGTTGAGACATGGCCCATCCATATAGATTGTTCGCATCTAAATATTGGATGAAGCTTGACGGCTCGTCTGGATTGTATTCCGATAGATATCTGTTGTTGGCGGTGGCGTGTCTAGCGGACACCATGCTTATGCCACCTCTTTTGCCATGCTCAATGAAGTTGAACATGTCAATGTCGGAAATGAGATGAAGGGACACCTTCGTCATTTTCAGCAGCGAATCCCAGGCAAATCCCGGTAAGGTGAGGTAATTAGCGGGATCCAATCCATAGGTTGCGTGAGCAGTTCTTCTGAAGTTTTCGAAAACGTCAGCCAACAGCAGCACATCAGTCTCCAGGTAGAGGTCGTGATAGTCTCCTAGATCTTCACAGTCAAACGCAGTCCATACTGTTTGCGCATAGGCATAGTCTTCATCACTGATACCCTAGGGAATAGAAAATGTACACCAAAAAGAAAAACAAATCAACGAACTTATTTTAGTAGTTCGCCCACACAATCAATTATTTAGTATGAAGCTGCAGGAAGCGTTCAAACACATTTTGGCTTATTTTAGTACTTCGAAGTAAGATGGTGAAAAAAGAAAGAGAGAAAGATCTACTATATCTGTCACACTACTCACCGTGTTCGTTAGCGTTGAGTGGAATGCATCCTTGGGTGGTAGACGCGTTTCTTCGAATTGGTCGTACGACCCCATATATTCATACGGGTAGACACCCTTTCGTGTCAACAGTTTGCGTTCATCCTCGTCTGGAAATCGTGCGGATAGAAGGGCGAATGCATCTGGTGGTGTAGCCGAAACCAACCGGTCTAGGGAGGTGTTCAAGAATGCCAGGCTGTCTATGAACTGGAACTGTCTCCATCCGAATGTGACATATTTTTCACTGTTGATGGGAATCACTTTGATAGCACCGAGACGCTTGGTCTGAGAAGAAGAAAGAAAAAGAGGAGACACAGTTTTAAGGTGCAGCTGTAAAGATGAATATCAATCATATAAACGTGAATATGAGTACCAACATAGTAATGATCTTCCTTCTTAGAAAAACATCATGATCCACGCACACGCACACACGCACACACACACACAAATACACACCACGCATATGTAACGTACCCGTTCTTGTCCTTTCTCGTTCACATATGTAATCTCATCAGTGGACGTTCTCCCAATGGCAGATATGATGTGATGAGAATCGTATCCCTTCAAGTTATGAAAGATCACAGGAATCTTGATCTTGAACGGCTCAATCCGCATGTTCAGGTTACAATGGTTGTGTGCTGCACCACGGTAAGCACCGGTGATGTGGCAGTGGTCACGTACACGATCGCTACCCAACGCTTCACCACAGATCCAACAGGAGACTACCGTTTCAAATTCACGTTGCTGACTTTCTGAAATGATCATTTGACCAGCATTACATGCTAGAAGCTCATCACGGATAATCTCCTCCTCTTGCTCAAGTGACAGCAGAAAACAGAACATAGAATCTTCTCCACGGTAAAAGAAACGGTTCGTGACGACGCCATCAGATCGTACTACAATGTAAGAACAGGAACAGGCTACATGCTTGTTCTTTTGGAATGTCGAATGACCGATTTTATTGACAGCGGACAGAGGTTCTATGAAAGCCTCACAATCAGCATAGATCACCTGCATTTGAGAGAGAGAGAGAGAGAGAGAGAGAGAAGTAGGAATAGCAGCAGGGACAACACCGAGTAAAACAGCAGAAAAGACAGATAGAGAATTAGAAATAGCTGCAGAGACAACACCGAGTAAAACAGCAGAAAGGTGAACAATCAGAGTCAAGAAACATGTGCAGGAAAGAAGAAAAAAAAAACAGACCACAGTGTGTTCACCTTGATTAAGTGTTCTACTTACAAATGGGGCTTGAAGCTGCTTGTTCACATTCCTGAACATCACTCTATCGCCAGCCTTTGGCATCTCCACCGTGGCTTCAGGATGTTCACTGCAGTACATCATATGATTATTCAATGCCTTCTCGGTGACGTGTGTTGAGAGACATCTGAAGCAGACGAAATGTGCTCGACGTGCTCCAGTAGCAACAAGACGACTGAATGACTTTATCCACACCCAGTGCTGCACCTCCACGTCATTGCGTTCGTCTTGGATGAGCAATACATTGATGGCGGACTGCGGTTGCTGAGAAATTCTTAACGGATACAAGTATATGACTTTCTCTTCATATCCGAAGACGTTGATGTAAAGACCGTCGTTCAGTCTTTCGATGACTGGTATGTCTTCCAGTTTTGCTGGAAACTCGATGCCGCTCACATCCACAGTATCCACATGTTCTGCGTACGACGATTGACGATATGGATGAGACTTGTCTGCCGAAAATTTAGCAGCCAGTATTGACCATCTAAAGTACGGATGACATAAGACATGGACAGGCGGCATACAGTTCAATCCATACACCATATCACAACACTGAAACCCCACTGCTATACTTACAGTAAACACTTGTTGTCAGTGTTCTGCACGTTAACAATGGCCTTCTTCGACTTCAACTCCGGTGGCAAGGGGATGTACGAACTTCCTCCAAGTACACAGTAGCGTGACATTTCGATGTGTAAACAGGAAATCCGTTCAACTACCCAACCTGATCCATGACGAACGAAATCATCAAGACGAGCGTTGATCTGAGCTATCATCCTACTGAGAAGGTCCCTCAGCTCCATGGTGTTGAGCACCAGCGTTGTACTCGATCGGAAGAAGAATGTGTTGGAAACCATTTGTCCTGTAGCAGGATTCAGCTTCTGCATCACCACCTGAACTACCAAAGAACACTTGTACTGACCCCATTGCTCAATATTCTCTTCAAGAAGCAGCTCCAGCGACGGTAGAACATGAGAGAAAAACTTTAGTACATCTGCAAACTCTTGATCAGGACAATAACTAAAGAATTGCAATAGATCAGATGATCTCACTACATCAAAAGACTGACGAGGTTTCTTCCGAAGGGGTTCCATCCTGAGCAGGGGTGGTGGCGGACAACCACACAATGGCTTGACAAGGTACCGAGGACCTATTTTTATAGGGTTTTCGTAATAGTTGAATTCGGAATAACTGGTTGTTTTTCAATTAACCAATCCACTCATCTCCCGCTGGAAACAATTAACCACTTACCGCACTTCCCGCTGAAAACATGTGACCAATTAGCGCACTTCCCGCTGAAATCACGTTCATCCTTTTATCGCGCATTGACCCATGTTCCACACTTCACAGTGAAATCAGTGCTGCAATGATGTACTGTGACGTCAATACACGGATGCATGATCTGTGCATCTGAGGTCAAGATGAATCCGGTGTTCCAGCAGCTAAAAGTTCGAGAAAGAATTGTTGTATGTCGAAAAGAATTATACGAGAGGAAAGCTAGAAAAATTCTACACCTCATGGACCTTTCGATTACGGACATAGATGGAAAACTAATTGACTTATGTCAATGGAAAGATTCCAAACCCGAACAAAAAAAGACATGGCATGTCGCGAGCAACGTTTTGGTTTTTGGCGCGCACCGTGTTCACCGTGTTCTCCAAGGTCGTCACCTTCCCGGAGGCGGGACCCGGCGGGACGGGACTTGGCGGGACCTATAAAACCTGATATAATTTCATTTCTGGTTCACAATTTGCTAAATTTCTCTCCCTGTCTATAGTGATAGCCAACGAAGATGTCTTGGTCAACCTCCGAACCATATGTTGAGAAGTGGTATTTATTTTCTTGTAGTAAAGATGAATTAACCGTTCGCTTACTCACCGATCTGGGCACAGCCTACGAGCTAAGACCCATGCTTCTTCACCCGGATCGGGTCGACTTAACTCCCATGGAGATTGCGGAGTATCTGTGCAGGGTGTCGTCGCGCGTTCTCGTGAGCGGTGAGAAACACCAGCGTCTCCCAAAGATCGTCGTTGACGGCGTAGAGGATTATGGATCCTCATCATGGCGGGATACAGGCAGACTGCTGCGCTGCTGGGACGACGGGCGCAGATCAATGTACAACGTGATGAAGGCTGCAGGTGTTCAGGATATTGTCGAAGAGACATTTGAAAATGGTGAGCAGATCGAAGCTCAGGAGTTCATCCGTGTGATCAAGGATCTCAATGAGCGTAAGGTCTTTCGAAGAGACGGGGATACGCAAGCGACGACGAAATCTGTCCGCCTCTCAGTCATGTCGACGAGGATAACCCGTGTTGTTGTGCGTGTCGGCACGATCGACATTGATGATGAAGGTTATCCTGAGAAGATGCCCGAAGTCTCGTGTGATACTGTAGTAAGCCGGAAGCGCAAGGCCGATGATGACCTGGATGAATCAACTGTCACGATTCAGGCTTCGAACACATCTCCTGTCATCGAAGTTTCCAGGAAGCGCTCCTGGGTAGTACCTTCTCAAGATATCTTTGATTGCTAGACTCTCTCTCTCTCTCTCTCTCTCTCTCTCTCTCTCTCTCTCTCTCTCTCTCTCTCTCTCTCTCTCTCTCTCTCTCTCTCTCTCTCTCTCTCTCTCTCTCTCTCTCTCTCTCTCTCTCTCTCTCTCTCTCTCTCTCTCTCTCTCTCTCTCTCTCTCTCTCTCTCTCTCTCTCTCTCTCTCTCTCTCTCTCTCTCTCTCTTCCTACCAGAAAATGATCCGAAAAATTGAAATTACAAGTCAAAATACTGCAAAACTATGAGTTCTGATTAGTATAAAATTGGAAAAAGTGAGATAACATTGACATTAGAAATAGTAATATTTTAGACATCGGAATGCAATATTATGATGTAGGGCAGGACATAACACCCACCCCTAAAAATCAAAATTAATGATACATGCAGAATTCCAAATCATGACACCATATTACCTTATTGTTTAGGGTAGAGCATAACACCCCAATACATATTTTTCAATAATACCCCATATTTTCACCGCAAAAAAACCGGGCCAAAAATAATTTTCACCGCAAAAATGGGGTACTATTAGTACCCCATTTTTCAATAATACCCCATTTTTTGGGACCCGGGCGCCCCCTGGCACAGAACCCGCTCGTTCCTTACTACTCTAGTGGATCGTGCTCGTCGATTATGTTCGCCTTCAAAGTTGGATGAGGAGTTGGAGCGGCTATGCACTTTGTTTCGTTTAAATGGGTACCCGGAATATGTGATATCTAAATATGTCGTAGTTAGTACACCGGTTGGAGCGAAGGAAGTGTCCTCCGAGGCCACTCCGGTGTATCTTCGTTTGCCTTGGAAGGGTGAAGCTGTTTGCCGTACCATGCAACGTCGAGTTAAATCAGCTGTAGAATCGAACTTTCGTAATGTTAGTGTCCGGTTCGTCTACACAACAGCTCGTGCCTTCATGGTGAAGAAGGATGTCCTACCCACTCTTAAATTATCACATCTTATTTACAACTTCGAGTGCCGGCAATGCGAGAGTCGGTATGTGGGTAGGACCCTTCAGCACCTGGCGGCACGGATCCACCAGCATGTGCCTCTTCACGTTATGCCTGTTGAGGCACGGTCGTCAAGGCCTAGACTAGGTCGTCCCCCAAAGAACGGTGCTGAGACTGGAGGTGCACCCTCGCTGGGGACGGAACCAACTGGGGTGTCGTTGTCTTCTTCGTCGGCATCGGCTTGTTCGTCATTGCCTTCATGTTTGCCGTCTCTTCCTTCTGTCCGATCATCACCGTTGGTATCTGCGGTTTCGTCTTCTTTGACTTCCTTGGTACCGTCATCCGGTGTGTCCACCTCCGGTGGAAAAAAGCGTGGCCGGCCACCGAAGAAACCACCGGATGGTGTGTCTGCGGGACCAGTGACTCGCTCTAGGGCGAGGTTGGCAGAGTCTTTATCGTCTCCGTCGTTGTCGTCATCGTCGTCGTCAGCATCTTCCTCATCTCCCTCCTCCTCTTCATCAACACCAACGGCCATTGAAACGTCAAAGGGAGCATCATCGCAGCAGGCAGTGCCAGTAACGGACGTGTCTTTGGTACTGACATCTACATCGGCCTCGTCTGGATTGGCAGTAGCGGCAAGGAATGTCAGGTCGGTTTCATTGTCACGTATTTCCAAAGTATGTACTGGTTCTAGTAGTGGTGTTAGGGTGTATGAATCTGTTGCAAACCATCTTGTTCAGAATAGTGATTGTCCTTCTAGTTATACTGATGATTGCTTTTCTGTTTGGTCTCGTTCACGTAGTCAAAGGTATCTGCGTGTATTGGAGTCTATCTACATTTTTTACCACCAAGCCGATTTTGTGTAGGCAGAAAAAGAATTTGTTTACATTAAAATTGTTTGTGAATTTAGATCAGTAGTTCTCGTTTGTGTGTGACGAAAACGTTTAGGAACAAGCTTAGTTATTTACATGAAAACAAGTTTTGCTAATGGTGTTTGTACTGAGTGCGCAGCTTACTCTATTTATTGCGTTGTTTATATTTTATGGCAATAAATAAGATAAATTGTACACTCATAACAACAGCAAAAATGAAGAAAGTCAAGTTCCATAACGTTTTCTTGTGACTGTCATCAGTGGAACGCCGTCACATAAAAATGTAATAACTAAAACACACACTTATATACATGTAGCTAATATGGTTTCAGGTAGAAATACAGCAGCTAACAGGTACAAAAAGGGAAGTTTGCACCTTTGCAATGTGTGAATATAGTGTATGTGAGAAAGGTAGTGGCAGATGAATGTGATACTGTGTGAATGAATGTAATGGTGCGTGTGTATTACTTGAAGAGTGTGAGTGATACAACGTTTTCTTTCTGTTTACATAGCACAGGGTCACGAGTACGAATATACACAGCTTCCAACATCTGCAATTGCTTGAAGAAACGTGCGCAACGAATAACACTAAACCAGGAATCGTCAAACACCTTACGACATTCTGGACTGGACACCAAATGCTTGTACACTGCAGACTTCCTCTTGTCAACATCAAACTCCTCCTCATCACTACTCTCATCCTCCACCTCCATTCCAATGCCGCCGTCCATCCCATCGCACTCGTATTCGTCGTCATCAGTCTCCATCTCCTCGCGACACCGCTTCCCTTTCCTTGATTCGTTCTGTGCCGTGCCTGTGCTTCCTCCTGCGTCTCCTTGCCTTGTGTTCTCCACTTGTCTCAGTCGTGCCTCTGCTAGTCTCTTGCTTCTCCTCGGTTCTGCTCTGTTTTCAAGTTGTTCCCCTTCCGCTCTTACCGTTGTAGCAACATGGTTTGTCGAGGAGCGACCTCGTGACCCTGTGCTATGTAAACAGAAAGAAAACGTTGTATCACTCACACTCTTCAAGTAATACACACGCACCATGACATTCATTCACACAGTATCACATTCATCTGCCACTACCTTTCTCACATACACTATATTCACACATTGCAAAAGGTGCAAACTTCCCTTTTTGTACCTGTTAGCTGCTGTATTTCTACCTGAAACCATATTAGCTACATGTATATAAGTGTGTGTTTTAGTTATTACATTTTTATGTGACGGCGTTCCACTGATGACAGTCACAAGAAAACGTTATGGAACTTGACTTTCTTCATTTTTGCTGTTGTTATGAGTGTACAATTTATCTTATTTATTGCCATTTTACGACTATTGTCTCCTCGTCGATTGTTTATATTTTATAGTAGCATTAAAAACGTCTTGAGCCTCTATCGTCATGCAAAACGCAATTGTAAGATCTAAAAATCTGCAGTCACGCTACAGATTATCAGGGTAATAATTTACCTGATCAAAACGTTTAGCCGATGGAACAGCATCAAGTCCAGGCGGGCAGAGACAATGCATAAATCTGTTTTGAAAGTGTGTTTTGTATGGTCTAGGAACCTCAATAATGCAAGTCACATGGCCAGAACATCTCATCGAGCAGTCGCCACGGCATTCGGAATAAAATCCATACTTGTGATTAGAGACGTCGCATTTGTGTTCGCACCTACACATGCACACACAGTGATAGAAAATAACATACGCAAGCAAGACACGTGCATGTCAAGTAAAA